TGCGTGGTGTTACTGGCTTCAAACTCTTTTTCATTATTCTAAACTTCATCCGGCACCAGCTCCAGGTTGGGTTTTCTTTGGAGTAGGTTATTATTCCCCAGTATTTTGTCTGTGGTATGTTCAAGGGATTGCAATTAAATGACAATTCATAGAATTTTTTCCTATTTTAATTTTTGTGCTTACAATGATTGCTAAAAACCAAAACATTAGTGAAATGGGGACTGTGTCCAAATATCTACAGTCTGATCCAGGTATATCACATTGAGAAACATTAATTCCTCATTAAATATAATCAGAAACACAATACGAGGCTTGTCAAGCTGACACGGGGTGGTGGGTACTATAATACTGCTCAGCAGGAAGGCTTGTTATATTTTTTATATGTTAGTAGATGTCTACTTAGAATTGATCAAACCTTTGCTTCCGAAACATATATGCCAACACCTCCACAACACACCATAAACCAGACTCTCAGAAAACAATAATGATGCTTATCAGTCACTCGCCTTGAGTTCGCTTGTGAAAAACCCCCAGCCAGTGTGCTATTGGAGATCTTAAAACATAGATCTTTTTGCTGTACTGATAATTCACTCACAGCTTGAGATTGATGACTATGTGAAGTCCATAAAAGATGTTACCACTATATTTTGTTCTTATGATTTATTTTATCATGTTGTCAAGGTTTGCAGAAAACAAGAAACAAATCAATGAATGTCATGCTTAAATATTAAAGAAGGCTGTAATACACATTTCTATTCAGATGCTTGATTCAATCTTGTGGCTCAGAAAGGAGTAGTAGCAACCAAGCTTTTATTTGAATTACTTTTGGAAAAATTAATTTAGGGGGACCGTGGAATTGTGACTGGCAAAAGGTGGCTAACCTTATTTGCTTACATAGGAACATGTGGCTGCTGGACTCATTGGGAAAGCAGTCTTAACAAACCACAGGAGAGGGAGTGGGTTTTAAAGCATCAAGAACTTGGGCTGGACTGTGCTTAACAAGTTCGAGCCTCTAGTGTGGACAGAAGGGTATTTGGAAAGAAGCAAAAGGATGAGACCTTGCTTCAGGGATGGGGGAAGAATGCCGCACACTTTGCTTTTGGAACGGATCATTTCTTTCATCATTATATAAAATCCAGATCTCCGGCTATTCCTAGGGCAGGCACTGTCTGCGAGCGTGGCACATTCCAGGATCGGCGGCCTTCCCCATACCTCGTCAGAGAGCACGCAGGGATGAACAGCTCAGTCTTGCTTTATTCTTCTGAATCTGACTGGCTTTCTGAAAACGGGGTCTACCCGTGCGTATGTTGTCAACACGACATTAGAACAATCCAGAGAGCTGGAGACTGCGCATTTCCAGGACGTGAGAAAAAATGCTCTGAACTCCAGGGTTTTTTTTTTTTATTTTCTTTTTTTGAAACAAGATGAACACACACAAAAAGTTCAGAAGACCTGTCAAAAATGAAACTCCCAAGTTGTGCTGTGCCCTGATACCAGTATGATTCAGCCTAATCTCTGTCCCTAAACTCAAGTCTGTGCATTCGAGGTCCTGAACGTCTTTGGATTATCAGAGAAAAAGTAATTAGGTTCAGCATCATTTCGTTGTTAAGTGTATTTTATTGTATTTTATTATATTCTTGTTTTGTGAAAATTGGTAATCAACACATGGTATATATGCTGATTCCAAATTAACATGAATATTCAATTAACCACAGGACCCTGGTCTTTGACCATTCTGAATAAACTAGAGTTTATTTGAATTTAGAAAACAGATAAATTAGGAAGTGATCATTTGCATTACAATAGGATTCTTCATTCTGAGGGAGGATTCCTTGTGGGATTCTTTTAAATAGAAAGCTCTCCAAGTACTTTGAAAAATATAATTTGATTTTTAAAAAATTCTCTTCTCGTGTAGTTTCTCAGGAACATGCCTATTGTGTGAAATGAGAGGCATATCTATTTAATTTGGTAATGAGAGAGCTTAATTGCAAATATTTTGGACTTAAAAAAAATCAGATATAGTCGCATGAAATTCACACCCAGCCATGGAACTTAAGTTCCATTTCATTACCATTTTCTTTCCATCTTGGTCAGCCTGAGCGCAAATCCCAATTCTGTCTCGTTCACTGTGTAACCCTCTGCCTGTAGCTAAACAGGAGGAAATTGTCGGAGGGGCACCTGGGATGTCTCCGTGGCTGCCAGGTAGTCCGTGCCTTCCATTTAGTGCAACAGGGAGGGGGACGCAAGGACAGGGCCCTGGGCTCACGGAAGCAACACCTGGCACCTCCAGGATTGTTCAAGCGGTTTTGGTGGGGGAGGAACTGTGTGGAATCCCACAAAATTACTGTTCTTTATACTCAGCTAGCTCTGTGCATGCGTGTGTGTGTGTACGTACGGTCGCTGGGGTGGCTACTCTGGTGCGTAAGACAACAAAGACCAGAAATGCTGGGTGTGGGGAGGTTCTCGGGTGGGTGAGCCGCGAGGCTGTCCCGGCCGGCAGGAGTCTGCCTTTGTGCTGGGGAAGCCATGGGTCAGGGCCAGGAGCAGCGGGCCGCACACCTGCCGTCCCTCTGAGTCCTCCTGGACCCGGGACCGCATCCTGTGCCATCTGGCTCCTGGGGCCCGGCTTCCAGAGGAGGAGAGACGTCTTGCTCAGTGTTAGGGGAGCTCAAAGATGCACTCTTTCTCCTTAATACTGCACTTCCCAAGCTATATTAATAGGCCTAATGGCAAAAATGGTCATGTACCCAGATGACTTTAGAAAATTTGGAGAAGAAAAGTCAGTAAGTTTCTGAGAAGTCTTGTAGTATAGGAGCTTGTCTATTTCTAATCTGTTGAAGAAGCAACCCTACGGGTTCTGAAGCGCTCATCGGAACGGACTTGGGAAAGGCCAGGCCGCCAACCGCGGGGTGCGGACCGCAGGCTGGCTAATCAGTCGTTCCGTGATGGGGACGCTTTGTTCTCGGAACTCTCCTTGGGATGTGGGTACATGCACTGGAAAACCTGTCGTCCAGAATGGATTCTAAGTTGGAGGGTTTGGGACACTGTGAAGGGACTTTTGGGGGAAGCGGGACCCTCCTAAACCCAGAGGCCTGGCCATGTGTATCTGGGACTCAGAATTTTCAGGAGAACCTCAAAGCAAATTTTTTACCCCCTTCCATTTTTTTTCTAGCTGTCTTTAGATTCTCCACTGTGTCCCTTGTTACCGTGTGGCCCAGGGCCTCAGGCCATCATTAGGTGACCTCAGGGAGGTGGCCAGCCGGACGGGAGACGCACTCCCTTGAGGTGAGCAGGAGAGGCCCCTGCATCTCTCTGACGCTGGGATACCGCACGAGGCCCTCCTGGAGGGGACCCACAGGGAGGAGGTGAGACGCCTGTTCCTTTGTCCTCCTCTTCCACTCCTGGGAGAATCTTTTGTGGGGTATCCGCCCGGACTGTGGGCTTGCTTGCGAGCCGCGCAGGGTGGTGCAGAGGAGCTAAGAGGAGCAAGGCGCCCGTGCCCTGGGTCCCAGTAGGGGCTCCCAGGGTCTGCGTGCGGAAGCTCCTGCTGCGTCAAGTCCCCGTTCTCCCACCCAGCTTCCACCGGCTCCTCGCCACCCGGCCCAGAGCAACCCAGCGTTCCTCCACTCTGGGACTGCGGCTGGACGGCGTGAAACCGCATTCAGGTGGCAACTAAAAACAGGACGGAACACACTCCTTCAGGACTGGCATTCCAATTAGAATGCTTTCACTCAAAGATTGTTCTGAACTTTAAAGAAATGAGCATTTGATCCTTTCCAACCCCTTCAGCTCTTTTCTAGTGCTTTTTACAAATAGGCAGAGGGACCTGTGAAGGATGTCCTCTCCAGCCCCCTTACTGGGGGGCCCAGAGTGAGTAGGTGACTTCTCTTACTCAGGCCACTAGAGGCTGGGACAGAGCCTCCACGGACCCTGGTTGCCTCCTCTGCCCACCCTAGAGCTCCACACGGCTCCTCGGTCAACAGGGCCATTGCCCTTGAGAAGCTGCATCATTCAATAACTTGGCAAAGTGGCCAGATTCTCTGGGGGCACGGAGGGTGGTGGACAGAGCCTGGTAGCAGTGGGTCGAAGCACTGGCCTTGAGATGCCCACCTGGTCCACTCTAGTGACCTCCCTGCAAGTCACATGATAGGACAGGGGCGAAAAGACCCACCGTACCACACGGGTCTGGGGAATGAGGAAACCAAGCCTGCAGAAAGACCACATAACCCATAGCACATTGTCCAAATGTAATATTTTATTAATATTTCACTCAAGGTAAATTGAGTTGTTGGGAGAACCCTCAGGCAGGTGGCAATGCTAGTTCATTCACTGTCACCATAATCCACAAAAGGGTTAATACATCTGCTCAATAAGCCAAAGCCAGGCTTATCCAGGAAGGGGAGCTGGAAGACCTTGCTTCCTCCCGTTCTGTAGCTACTGGGCCCCACGGTGACCGTGCAGCTGGGCCTGCCCAGGCACCTGTGACCAATGCTGCCTCGAGGGGACATTCCTGTGCCAGGCCCTGTGACCCTCCTCACAGTGGGTCTGTGCGGGGGTGTGCACACACCCAGCCCTGGAACCATGGCCCCATCGTGGTGGTTTTCTGTGATGAGCTTGTAACTCTAGGAATCACCTGGAGTTCACTCTATAGTTTATTTTAAAAAATGGTTCGCAGGCTGCATGCACCCAGTCGTGGATCTGTGTGACCTGGGAGCAAGTGCCTGAGCTGCTCTGAGTTGGGGGCCCACCTCAAAGCATTCATCAACTGCAGAAGTAACACCCGGGTGTCCCTCCCAGCTCTGGCCTTTTGAAATAGCCTATCCTCAAGGGCTCTCACCATGTAAATTCCGTTGGCTTCTCAGTGGCTTTTGGAAGATCTGAATTTCCATTTGTTGATTCTGCCATTATTAAAAATGGGGCATTTCTTAAAGGAGATAGCAGATGACTCCCTGGAAGCTCACTCCTCACTTAAGAAGTTGCTTCTTGAACTTGAACCGTAGGCCATTTTCCAGCCTCCTTTCCGAAGAGACACCCTGGGACCCTCCCCAAGGGGCGTCTGGAGGAAAATCCTCGCAAGACTCAACTCGCTGCTGTAAGTCTGCACACAATGCCTGAGAAGGAAGCCAGCGCCAGGACTCCAGTGCCGTGGCTGCCAGCGCAGCGCTGCCAGCTGAGACTTCCCTGCAAATTCCTGCTCTGCGGTCCCCCCCGAGTCCCGCCGGCTGTGAGTGCTCCCGAAGGTGAAGGAAGCCAGAAGCCAGCCTTGCCATCCCGCTGGCTCCTGCTTGGCTGGGCCTCTGTCGTCCTGGTTGCCACGGGTCCTGGCGGGGTCAGCCTGGGATTTCTCTTTTGACGCACGAGGGATGATTCGTGATTGTTGGGGGTGGGGCAGGGACACAGGTCCCACTGGCGACTCCTTTCTGAATGAAGGAAGCGCATGAAAAGGAAAAGGAGAGACAGGGTGGGTACCCAGGGCTCCCTCACTACACGGAGTGTCACATCGTCACACTTGGGAGGGGCTCGATCATCTGAGGATTTGGTCCCGAGTAGGACTTTCAGACCCCGTGGATTGAAGGCTGCAGTTCTCCAGGGTGGACATCCAGGCTGTGTCTTCTGCAGCCGTCACGGGAACGCTGGCACCCTAATCCCGGCCAGCTTTGTAAGAAGAAAGCTCCCTTGCATTCCCTCACTTTCTGGTGGCACCTGGAGGCTTATCCCTGGGTGGTTATTTAAAGCCGCCCACTAAGTGTTTCTGGAACCCTCCTCTCTGCCCCCCGCCTGCCAGCCACAGAGCAGCAGCCAGGGGTGCCATGTGCCAGGCCCTCTGCCCAGACTTCTGGCCCCGGGGCGTGCGAGCTCAGTGGCTGCCTGCCCACAGCACCGCTTCCCTCCCCAGCTGCAGCTCATGAATGAGACCTGTGGGCCGGGCCAGGGAGCTTCCTGCCCAGGCACGTGCAGGACCCTGTATCCTGTGGCATTTCTCTAGAAACTCAGGTGCACATCCTGAAGCCTCACATGCGCATGTGAGCTCACAGCCACCTGCATATGTGTACACACCACACGTGTGCATACACGCATACAAACAGCTACATGTTACACTTACATGTGCACACAAATATGCAGACCACACATGTGCACACAGCACACATGAGTGCTGTGCCCACACTCCTGTCTCTGTCCAGTGAGTCATCGGCTCTCCTGTGCTGCAGTTCCTGAGTGTCAGGTACAGAGTGACTCTGTACACATAAGAATCCCTTCCATAAACGCACCAGATAATTTCTCCTGTTACTAACAAGTAATCCTGAATATCAGCCGCTGAAAGTAATGAACTGGAAGATGCTTATAAGCTGCAGGCTGGGCCCGTGGCATGCGGCTACCTCCGTGCCAATCGTTTTCAGGTTTTCCTGGGTGACATTGGCATGTAACGTATGGGCCTTTCTCCGAAAGTCCAGCATGAGTGTTCTCCTCAGAACAGCAGTGAGGAAGGGGGTCCTGCTGACAGCAGGTCACATCCACACGCCGTCGTCCCGAGCAGCGCTGGATTCCAGTCCACCGCTGAGTTCCGCCTGGGCTTGGCTCTAGCCCCATTCCAGCTCCGAGCCTTATTACTGGGGAGTCAGAGATGGAAGCAAGAGATTTCTCTCCCTCAAAAACCAGAGTCCAGGACCTGAAACTGACCTGTAAGCACGCGTTGCTGTCATTAACACCAATCACTGGGTTGATTCGAGTGCTGGGCACCATGCAAAGCACTTCATAGAATGTAATTGGGGTTGACAGGTTTAGCAAAGGAAAATACAGGATTTCCAGTGGCATGCGAATTGTAGTATAAGTATGCCCCATGCAACATTTGGGACATATTTATACTAAAATCTACTCATTGTGTACCTGGTAGGGAGTGTGTTTTTAACTGGGCTCAATGGATTTTTCTGGTAGCCATCACAGTAGTCGTATGAAGTAGGTTGTAGTAGGTTCTCCAAGTTACAGATAAGAAAAGAGATCCATGTCATTTCATTTTTGCATCAAGTGAATAACCATTTAGCCCATGAGGTGGTTATGATGGAGCTACGTCAGCGTGGGCTGAGCCAAAAAAGCAGGTGGGGGCTTCTCTGAGCAGGAATACACTTGCCAGGAGCTCTGGGAGCCTGTCTTCCCAGAACCGAGGAGGACTTTCTGCAGGGGAGTGCGGTGGGGGGCGAAGTCACACAGCTTGAGGGACAGACCATGCCAGCTGTGGAACATGGAATCCGTAAGCTGAATGGAGCCCAAGGAAGTACCAAACCCAGAGTTTTCCTGAGAGTGCACCATGGCGCGATCCTCAGTGGAGTCTACTGAAGAAGTGGGTCTCGTGGCCTCATGGTCACGTCAGCTAATCTTGGTGACCCCTAGCTAAATCTGCATATTAACACGCAGCTAACCTTGTACTCAATAGCTCTTGTGAACTGTTAACACGGTATGCTGAAAACTTGATCACTAGAGCTGTTATATTCCCTATGTCATCTCACGGGACGCTAGCAACTTGCGGAACACATTTGGACAATTCTGTCCCCAAACGAGAGCAAGTGAGAAGCAGTCACCTCCGATGGCACAACGCCCCTCCCTTGTGGGCCTGTGCGTCATTTACTATGGCACAAATCACCGGTCGCCTCACTTTGCACACCTGTTCGCTTTGCCTGCTAAGTCATCATCAGATACTTAGAGCATAGTTCAGTGCCTGAGGAAAGGATGCTTTAGATAAATGTTTGAATGGAAGAGTGGACGCCTACCCATCTATGACTCACATGCCTGAAGTCACCCGTGAACACCATGAACATCAGGGCAGCCAGGTTCTTTCTCTGCGGCCCCGACGTTAGACAGAGCCTGTGCCACATGGTCCTGACCCTGACCGTCCCTGCTGGGCTTCCTCCCCACCCCCTATCCTGCTCCAGCCCCCGGAGTTGGGCTGCGTGATCTGAGAACCGTCTCTCCCCGAGTGGCAGCGCTAGCCCTCTGGTGTTGGCGGACAGCTGCCGGCCCTCGTGCTGTGATAACCCTGCACTGAGGCCATCGTTGCCGTAACTGTGGGAAGGGCCACCAGGAAGGAAATGCAAGGGGTCAGGCAAAATCCGTCTCCTGACAGCCGTGCAGGCGGGACCCAAGCGTGTTCCCTTGACGCATCTGACTTCAAACGGGAAAGGCTTTCGAGAGAACAGAGTGGGAAGACGGGACCAGACCAGGAGGGCCAGGCCAGGGGACAAGGCAGAGAGCGATTGACCTTGGAGAGCTCTCTACCTTGAATGCGGGTTCGTACCAGAGGCCGCGGATCCTGACTGCCGTGTGTTCTCTTACATGGTCGGGTGGCAGCCTGGACTCCAGGTCCCGATGAGAAGGCGGGCCTGAGAGTCACTGCAGGACTCTGCTCACCAGCTTGCTCAGGCAGTGTGAGCCACCGTTCTTGGGGACAACCTGGCCCTTTCACAGGAGGCTGACAGAGGCCTTTACCCAGCTGGGGGGCCGGGTAACCGCAGCTTCCTCCTGCTCACCCGCCAGCAGGCCCGAGGTGTGTTCCTCCCCACACGAGCAGTCGGCTGGGTCTGAGGCCAGAGTGATGCCCTCAGGAAAAGAATTCTCCCGTCTCTGACTCCCGTCGGCTTTGCCCTGGCTAAGGTCTGGGCTTCCTCAGACAGCCCCAGCCAGGGGAGCTCCCTGCCCCCACACCGGCGTCCTGGCTCTGCCTTCATGGCCAGCTGACCTCGTAGCAGCCAGTGGCACCCGGGGCAACCGGTGGCCACCCAGGCTCGCTGCCCACAGGAGGCCTGGTGAAGGCTGCCTCCTGGGCCCAAGTCGCACCCGGTGCTTCTTCCCTGGAGAAAGAACCAACATTTTCAGCTTTTGAGATGGAGCCCCCATGTTTCACGCACATGGGGGTTTTAGAATCGTGGCTTGAGAGCAGACCCACTCTGAGGGCTGGAAGGACCACAGAAATCTTCTGCAAATGTGGAGACGTCCAGTGCACAGGGGATCGGGGCGCCACCTGGAAAAGCCCACGTGCAGCTCAGCCCAGGCCTGAATAGCAGAGCGGTTGGAGCGTGGGCAGGAGGGACACCTCTGGGCTCACACGCCAGCTCTCCGTTCAGACGGAGGTCAGATCCAGCAAATCACGGAAGCGTTCCGGGGTCGGGTCTGCTCTTTCATGAAACCGGGATGATCCCAGTGGCATGTTCTCGGGGCTGTTTTGAAAGTTACGTGGGGCGAGTCAGATCAGAGGCCTAGAGCAGGGTCCGGTGCGCTGCAAGTGCTCGGCTAACGTTTGCTGTTTCCCGACATTCTCTGGCCCTGGGCCTGCGTCCTGAAAGAGACTGTGGGTGGGTGACAGGCATCGTCATCTTTGCTCTACCTCGTAACCTTTTTTAATCCAGACGCCCTTCGTGTCTGGCAGCAGAGAACGCTGGTGAGTGACGCTGTTGCGAAGCCTCCCCCTCCCCACCCCACGCTCAGACACAGCTCGGCGGGACTCCGTCTGCCCACAGCGCGGGAAGAGCAAGGACCCAGGGCCAGATGGCAGGCTTCGTGTAAGCCCTTCACTCACCAGCTGTGTGACCTCCGGCAAGTGACACACTCTCTGTGCCGAGATCCCCATTTCGACATGAACATCAGAATAATAACTTCCTCGCCGATTGTTATGAGATTGGACAAACTAATGTAAGCAACGGCCTCAGAATGTCCTTGGTCTGTGGCAAGCGCTTTGACAGGGTTTTAAGGAACCGATGAGGATCTGTGCTCACTGGGCCTGGGGGAGGGAGGCGGGGGACGGGGACTTTTAGGGCAGCAGGAAGTGCATGAGCATGTGGCTGAGCCGCACAGTGCGAGTGGCTGAGACAGCGGACTCAGGGCATCGGGACTTGTCAAAACCCGCAGAATGCACGGCACAAGGCGTGAACCCTACTGCAAATTCTGGACGTTAGTTAATAATAATGGCTCCGGACTGACTCATCAGTTGTAACCAACGTACCACACCGACGCCAGATGTTCCTACCGGAACCTCGCTGGGGCGGACGGGAGGGCGGTGGGAACGCTCTGTACCTTCTGCTCCATTTCTCCGTAACCCTAAAACTGCTCTGAAAACAAAGCGATTAATTAAAAACATTCAGTTACCCACATATTATGCCGGTCCGTCTTCCCCCACAGAGCCTTCTAAAGGTATGTGTGACTCACTCTCCATCCTCTTCCTCTTTTGCGCCCCCACACTGGCCGGCGGTTGGTGGGTACTGGATGGGTGAGGGAGCGGGGGGCTTCCAGCCTGGGCTGGGAAACCCTCTCCCAGACCCCTCCCTGCGCCGCGTCCCCAGGCAGCAGCCAGCCAGCCCCCACGGCACCTCTCTTCTGATGGGGAGGATATCCCGGATGCCAGCTCCAGGCCCTGGTGCCAAAGGGTCTGCCTGCTCACTCAGACCTGCTGCCTGAGTCATCAGGCATTTTGCACCGAACGCCACGTCAGGAAAACCGACCCATGGCCCAGAAGCGGAATGTGGAGTGAGGAAAACAGGGTTCACTCCTGTTGACTCTTTGGTGATGACTTCCACTTAGGCAGGTCTTAATGTCCTGCTGCACTCATGTTTTCTCGTGTGATTTCTCACCCACAAAATTGCACAGCCTGTCAATGATAACGTTCTCTGGGTTACTTTGTCTTACATCTTTCTAAGCTTTGCATGATATGTACAAATTACGAATTATAGCTTCTCCTTAAAACCCCAGGAAAGAGTGCCTGTGCTCTGAATAGTGAAAACTAAGGGACAGGAGGAACCCCTCTGCACCTCCTATGTCAGGGTGAGTTTTGATGTCACTGTTGTCTGTTTTATCCTTAAAATCATCTCCAGCAGGGGTGTGTGTTGGGGGCAGGAGGGTCTGTCATTCCTTGCAAAAGTTAGGATTTTCTCCCTCAAAGCCATCTTGCAGAATTCTTCCCAGAAGGCGCTAAGATGCTAGAGCTGATCTAGTTGCCCAGGCCTGGTGTTGGCCCAAGAAGCTAGAAGATTCCCGCCCCCCATGAGAAACAAAGTCCCTACCTGGATTGGCTCATCTTCTTTGAAAACTCTCAGGATTTTGCTCGATGGGCTCTTTCATGCCGCATACTTTTTGGGTCGAACGGTCAAGTTAATTCCAAGCTAGAAAAATCGCGTGCTTTCGCCATCATTGAAAGAAGAAAACAAGTTTAGAATCTGCTCACTCTGCGGCCTTCAAAGGGCCGCCCCTCCCCGCCAGCCCAAGTCGAGTACTCAGGAATATTGTGAACACGAGACCCGCAGCGTGCGAGTCCTGTGGCATTGATGATGCCAACATGACAAGTTGTCACTTTGCCGTACGTCCCTTCTCAGGACTCAACCCTAACAGCCGGGTTATTCTGGCGACTCTGGGATAATCAGGGCAACAGAACAGGCATGAATGGCAGTTCCTGTAATTACTCCGGAAAGAGGACCAAAGCAAACAGAAATTCTCTCTAATTTTATATATTCCCAATAGGTGCACATGCTACATCATTATCACTATAGAAACTACTTAGTAGTTAGCCAAAAATCAGCGCTGTGTCATGGGCTCGTGGGTCGGCGCCCGCGTACCTCTCAGGGCAGCCCCTCCGCTCAGACCCAGGTGGCCCGGGGAGGCTGCACGTTGCAGGGAGAGTTCCCAGGCTGAACACGCTGTACCGCACCCAGTTGCCATTGCTTTTAATAAATGGACATTAGCAGGCATAAGCATCCGGCAACGACGGGGCCGGGAGGGAGAGTTATGCAGTGCTTGCGGGAGGCGCGATTTGTGTCCTGAGATTTTTATCATTGTTTTAACTGTCACAAGCATGACTAAAGAATGCCCTGGAAATGGCTCAAAGCCTCATTGTAAGAAATAGACCATTTTTCCAGTGGGCTCACAGCGACTATCACCAGCTTGCCAAGGAATGCAAAGCACAGAGAGTCCAGGTAAGCTCCCTGGGCTCCGTGTTTTCTTTCCTTTTTCTTTCTATTTCTTGATGGTGTTGTTGGTGACATGGCGTCTAACAGCCCCGAACCCTGGATATGCGCACTCCACAGCGTGAATAATCCTACGGCAAGAAGCATCTCGGAATCAGGCACGGAACAGCTCGGTGCCTGGGCGCAGGGCTCCTCCCCCGGCTTGCTCTGGCGACCACCGCGATTCAGGCCATTACCCTCTCCTCAGTCTTCCCACCCTAAGGCCGAAGCGACCCCAGAAAAAGTCGCATTCGCAACTTTTAATCCCAAGGAACAAGAACCACAAGGTGAGGGCTTTCCAAGGAGGGAATTAGCAAAGGATCATTTTTCTCTGGGTCCAAAACGGGGAAAAGTAAACAAGCCCTTGCTGCCGAAACCTGAAATCCCATCAAAGAGAATTCCCGGCCAGCAGAGAGTGTTCATCAAAAACACGGAAACTCGAACAATGAGCAGGGCGCAAAGTCAGAAATTTATAGCCTTTGGCCTCTGCCGCTACATATCCTGGAAGGGGAAAAAAAAGTGTTAAGAAAACAAGCGCTGGTTGTGGATGTGAGGACTCCGGCACTGGCCGCCTGACAGTGCGACCCTTGCCTTGACCTCCGCAATATGTTTCCACAGGTAATTCCATAACTCTCCAGCCAACTTTTAAAGGCTTCCTGTTTGACAGGCGAGAGAAAGGAAGTACCCCAGCACCGGGGAGCCGGGCGCTGTGCACCCCGGACCATCAGCGTGCTTGAACCTGTATAATTTATACCCGGTTTTCATCACCTCGTCCTGCACACATGATGAAATTTATTTCTGCTGATAACTGGGATTTTAGCCGCGCGGCTGTTGAGGCCGGTGTGATGAGATGTTCTGTTTCTGTTGTTGTTGGAATGTGCGCCGGGCCGGCCTGTGAAACTGATGAATGACCGCCGTGGCAGATTCATAATCCAGGGTTCGGTGCAGCTGTGGAGGGAACTAATAGCTGGCAGGGACCGCGGAGGTCCCCGAGCTAATACCTGTCTCCTCCATCACAAATTGATGGCATTAAACAAAAAAGTTGACTCTTTTCACATCCTGCCAATCTAATTTTGGTGCCCCTGCAGCCATCCCAGGATCTCGTGGCACGGAGGGCACTCAATGTCGCCCGTGGGATGGGGAGGGAAGCATCTGTCATCCGGCCGCTGCTGTCTGGCGCGGGGGGCGGCATGGCTGGGCACCCCTGCCCGTCGGCTGGTGGCTGCAGGGCGGCGGCGCCCCATGCTGAGTCCCCTCCAGCCCGCCTCCCCGGCTTGCCGCCCTCTCTCTGCTAAGCATATGGTTTCACTTTTCTCCTTCTTCACGGGGAACCGGGACAGTTGAGGCATAAACTGCTTTTACTTGTTCCTCCCTGAAAGGTTGGATGCAAGGAGGAAGGTCCA